CCCCTGCATCGGCAGGCGGACTCTCAACCACTGCACCACCAGGGAAGCCCCTCTCTCTCTATTTTTTTTTGCAGTGACTGCTATATTTCTTAGCCCTATGTAAAAGAAAATGGTATTTTAAACTTTATTACAAAAATTTCAAACTCATATAAAAATACAGGGAACATAATATAATCCATATGCCTATCACCTACATCTTATAACTATCTTGCCATATTTGCCTCATCTGTTTTTCTCCTTGATGAGATTTTTAAAAACAAATCTTAAATATTATGACCTTTCATACCTAAATATCTGAGTATCTAAAAAATACTTTACTACATAGCTATTACACTGATTAAAATTAACACTAACTCCTTTATAACATCAAATACCCAGATTTCCCCAACTGTCCCCCAAATGCCTTTTTGCAGTTGGCTTGTTTCATTCAGGATCCATACAAGCTCCATAAGTTGCAAATGTTTGTTATGTTTCTTAAGTCTTTTGATCTTGAATAGTTTCTCCCTTTTTCATGCCATTGACTTGATGAAGAATGGTTAGAAGTATTATTAAATCTTAATATTGTTAAATTAAATCTAAAGTATTAAATATCACCAGAGCAAAATGAAGGTAAACTAGACAAAGGCATTTTCAGGTTGAGCAATAAAGAAAAGTTCCAGAAAAAATGTCTCTGAACTTCTAATTCTCTTCCCAAACACACAAAATGGAGATTTGTAATTATGTGACACTGTCTTGCTAGTGCTGAGCACGGTGCCTGTCAAATAGGAGGCAATCTATAAATGTATGTTGGCTTACTGAGGGCACCGTGAATCTTTCTAGAAACTCAGGGTGAAAGCATGAGGGTCTTTTGAGCAGGAGGGCAGAAAGAAACACTTTCCAAGGTCCACTCACTTTTGTTCTGCCTTTGCCTAGAATGCCCCTTCATCTCCCAGGGAAATCCCACTCATCCTTCAAGATACAGCCAATCTTCCCTCCTTTGCAAAGCCTCTTCAGTTACGACAACATTCGGCTTTTCTAAGCGAGATTAAATCAGGTCCTTCCATGATATGTTCTGAAAGCCCCACGTCAACTTCTCTCCCGAGTATTTACCACAATTTATAATCGGACATATGATTTGGGATTATTTTATTAACGTCTGCTCCTTCCATTCAACAGTATCCTTAGCTCCCAGCTGAGGCGTTCAGTTACATGTGTTCCATTGAATCAAATCACTAATAAAAGCAAACAAACCCATTTTCAAAAACCAAAAACTTTCCTTCTCACGGATGTCTCAAAGATTGGGCATTTCTGAGAAATGCGCAAACGTTCTAGAAATATCCAAAATACAGCGACTAAGTACTGGGCCAAAAAACAACACTGGCGGTTTGTGGGGCTAGCTCCGGCCGCCCGGCCCCGAGTCCTGAGGTGACCCTGGGGTAAGGATGGGGCGGCGGGGGCGGGGATCTGGCCCTCTCGCAACCGGCCATGGGTTGGGCTGGGCCGGGCAGCCACGTTGGTCTCCGCCGCTGCCGCCGCCGCCGCCAGCGGAGAGGCCCCAAGCGTTGCTTTACCTGGTCAGTCCTAGTGGCCAGGGATTTATCGGCCAGGATCCTCTCCTTCAACTCCTCCAGCTTCCCGCTGTAGGCCAGGTTGCAGACCATTAGGTTAGACACACACCCCTCCATTTCGCTTTCCCAGGATCTCGGTGAAGCCTGACCAACGACCGCCTCACGTCACCAGCTCCGACTGCCAATCAAAAAAGGCATTAGAGCTCCCCCAGTGATCAATCGCGCTCGTTCCTTTGCTTCTTTTCCCATCGCAGGGCGCCTCTGGGAGTTGCAGTTTGAGCGCAGTTCCGGGCGGGGAGGAGCCTTTGCCGCTGTCTCCGTCTCTGCCGTTAGCAGCGCGGAACTACGAGTCCCGGGGTCCCTTGCGGCCGCCGTAGTCAAGTGGCCGGTGGAATTGGCCCAGGATGACAGCTGGAGAATGGAGTCAGGTACGGGGAGCGGCTTCGTGTAGAACCGGGGTGGGTGGTCGCTGTTGGGGCATTGAGTCGGTGACGCGAAGTGGGTGCGGGGTCATGGCAAGAGAGTTATGGGAGCCAGAAAGTCCTGCCCCACGGGGGCCCTGACCTGCAGTGGTAAGCGGAAGGGAAAACGGTAGCAGCTGAGTACTACCTCCTGAGCTCGAACCAGTGCCTGTGGCCATCCTCCCCCTCGCTGGTACCGCCGCCAAAGGAATGGAAAGAACTAGGGGTTAATTATTCTTACGTTTCGACGGAGTGGCATTAGGGCAGAATTCTGCCACAACAGTGATAGCATATGACACCGTAGTAAGGTGATGTGCCAGGGTGATGCCAAAGGCAGGGTGTGATGCCATAGGACCCACTTGATATCTAAGAGATCTCGGGGAGTCCATGGCGTGATGACATCACAACTTGATGAGGGTCATCTTGACATTATGGCATGGTGTTGGCTCTTTAATATCACGATAATAACGGTGACATCGAAGCTTTGCTACAACTATTAAGCTAATAGTGTTTCTATTTATAGGATTCCTAAATAGTGCCATAGCAGAAGAGATGCAAGGCTTATCCTTTATAGGGCATATCCAGGCTGGCATCATACCAAAACCAGGTAACGATAAGAATACACTCAAGAAAGAGACTGACTATGTTTATATTTACCCTGTTATGGTGTAGAACAGAGCTTGGCAGCCTTTCCGTAAAGAGCCACATAGTAAATATTTTAGGCTTTGGGGGCCAAAAGGCAAAATCAAGGATAATTTGTAGGTACTTATATGACAAGGGAGAAAACAAATTTCAACAAATATTTATTGATGAAATTCAAGGTATAGTAATAATAATTGAGCATTTTTTTTTTGTATTATGAGACTACTAATGAGAATAATGGAATTCTTTTGGGGGGGATGACATTTTGTTTATTTGGGGCTAATAGTCAGTGTTCCCTATCATCAAAATCATTTCAAATGTTCATCTGTTAATGCTGATCTGTAATGAGATTTTACCCATTTCATCTTTGTAAATGTCTTTTTACACAGATAGGTATGAATCCACAAACATATTCTTGTTATTTTTTATTTAAGTACATTTTAAATTTCAGAATAGCTTTAGATTTATGGAAAAGTTGCAAAGATAATGCAGAATTCCTGTGTACCCCTCACCCAGTTTCCCCTACTGTTCCTTTCCTATTTTTAACAGCTTTATTGGGATATAGTTTTCATATCATAAAATTCACCCATTTTAAGTATAGTTAAATATTTTTAGTAACTTTACTGAATGGTGCAGCCATAATCATAATCAGTTTCAGAACATTTTCATTTCCCCCCAAAGATCCCTCATGCTCATTTATTTACAGTTAATCCTCGTTCCCACTCCCAGGCCCAGGTAACCACTGATCTACTTTGTCTCTATAAATTTGCCTATTCTAGGCATTTCATCTTAAATCAAATAAGAAGTGGTCTTTTGTGCCTGGCTTCTTTCACTTAGCATAATATTTTTTGAGGTTCATCCATATTGTAGCATGTATCAGTACTTCATTAATTTTTATTGCCAAATAGTATTCCATTACGTGGCTATAAAACATTTTGTCTGTCTACTTGCTACACATGTAGGTTGTTTCCAGTTTTTGGCTATTATGAATAATGCTGCTAAGGACATTAGCGTGCGAGTCTTTGTGTGGACAGGTGCTTTCGTTTCTCTTTGGTAGGAACCTAAGGGTGGAATGACTGCATGATATGGCAAATTTATCTTTAACTTTATAAGAAACTATAAAACTATTTTCCAAAGCGGCAGCACTGTTTTGCATTGCCACTAGTAATGTATGAGGGTTTCTGTTTCTCCACGTCCTTGCCAACATTTGTTATTGTCTTTTTGATATAGCCATTCTGAATGGATGTGAAATTATATCTTATTGTGGTTATAATTTGTACGTCCTTAGTGACTAATGATGATGAGCGCCTTTTCATTTACTTACTAACCATTCATACATCTTTTCCATTTTTAAATTGAGTTATTATCTTTATTGTCTTTTTATTATTGAGTTGTAAGAATTATTTATATATTCTGGATACAAGTCCCTGTAGATATGATATGTGGATATTTTCTCCCACTCTGTTGCTCATCTTTTCATTTTCTTAATGATGTCTTTTGAAGTGCAAAAGTTTTAAATTTTGACAAGATCTAATTTATTGGGTTTTTTTCTTTTATGGGTCATGCTTTTGGTGTTGTACACTTTTAAAAATTGTACAATTTAATGTTATTAGTATTTTAGAATTGTGTTACCATCACCACACTCTTATTTGAAACATTTCCATTACCCCAGAAAGAAACCTCATGCCTGTTTTCACTCTCTCCCCATTTCCACTCCCAGGCCTAGGCAACCACTAATTTATTTTTTGTCTCTATGGATTTTCATTTTGGGGGATTTTATATAAATAGAATCATACAGTATGTAATCTTTTGTGTCTGGCTTCTTTCACTTAGCATAAGGTTTTTGAAATTTATCCAAATTTTAGTTTATATCAATACTTCATTCATTTTAATGGCTGAGTAATATTCCATTGTTTGGCTATACCATATTTCACTTATCTGTTCATGAGTTTATTGTTTGCCTTTTGGTTATTATGAATAATGCCATTATAAACATTGATGTACACGTTTCTGTGCAGACATGTGTTTTCATTTCTCTTAGCACGTATCTAGGAGGGGAATTGCTGGGCCATATGGTAGCTCTGTGTTTAACTTTGTGAGCAACTGCCAGACTTTACCAAAGTGGCTGCACCATTTCCCTTCCCACGAGCAATGTAGGAGGGTTAGAATTTCTCCACATCTTTACCAACACTTGTTAATGTCTTTTTTATTATAGCCATTCTAGTGAGTGCGAAGTGGTATCTCACTGTGATTTTGTTGTTTTGACCTGTGACAGCATGGGATGCATATAAAGCATGTTGACATTACTTATGATTCAAACAATGTTAGCTGTTGAAATGACTTTCCTGCAGTGTAAATTTCACATATAAGTGCTGTTTTGCCTTGTAATTTTAAGTTGAATTAATTAAGAAACGTTATCAAGTCTGGAGCAAAAGCTAATTTCCAGGGCCATTCGGTGTTTGGTAGTAGTGGTTGAAGGCAGTTCTTCCAACAGTTAAAAAATGTAAAAATCATTCCTACCTTCCTTACCATAAGAAAAACACATAGTGGATCTAATTTGGCCTGCCAAATGTAGTTTGCTGATGGCTGGTGTGTAAAAGTGTCCTGTATTTAGCAGGTGTTCAATAAATATTTATCCAGTTGATTACAGAGGTACAGCAGGCCTGTTGTGTGGTATTCACAAAGGACTGGGTATAGTAACATTTCACCAATAATAATACATCAAGAAATTGGATTTGATTGTCAGAAACAGCTGGAAAAACAACTCCAAGTGCCTCTCCTACTGAGTGACTTGTTTGGGTAATCTTCCTTTATAGACTGTGTGTTGTGCTTTTATTTTATTTGATATGACAGGATGGTTAACTTTCAATTCTGAGTCCCTTAAGGCCAAGGGTAAGGTATTCTTTGACTCTTTGAAAGCTTTCAAAGGTGTCTTCCCTTTTGTCACTGTCCTCAAGTATGGAGGAACAATGTGGTTACTGTTTATCAAGAAGAGTCAAAGGGGGGCCCTGTTAGGGACTGACTCCGTTTCTGTGCATACAATTGCATATTCCCTTTACTACTGGTCATATAGAGTCTAGGTCCTAGAACAAGCCAAGTTCACCTTCTGGCCTTTAGAATAACTAACGTTTACTGATCACATGTGTCAGGTATTGGGCTTATCTCATTTAATCCTTCACAACAACCCTATGAGGGAGGTACTATTATCCTCCAGTCCCCACCTTTTAAAAAATGAGAATACAGGCACAGAGAAGCGAAGTAGCATGCCTGAGGTCACACAATTTGGCAAAAGTTGGAGCTAAAATTAAAATCCACTGCTATTCTACCCCAAAGCCCTAGCACTTAACCACTGCAACATACTGCTCAATATTGCTGAAGATGAAATTATGTGTAAATGCAAACCTCAGGGGCTTCCCTGGTGGCACAGTGGTTGGGAGTCCACCTGCCGATGCAGGGGACACGGGTTCGTGCCCTGGTCCAGGAAGATCCCACATGCCGCGGAGCGGCTGGGCCCGTGAGCCATGGCCCGCAGAGCCTGCGCGTCCGGAGCCTGAGCTCTGCAACGGGAGAGGCCACAACAGTGAGAGGCCCGCGTACAGCAAAAAAAAAAAAAAAAAAAAAGCAAACCTCAGGTAATGCAATACTAATTCCTGTCAGAGCTCTTTGGGCTGTAACACTACCTATGATTCTTGGGAAATGACATGATTTTCATGCTCTAGAGCAACACTGTCCAGTAGAACTTTTTGTGATGATGGGAAAGTTCTGTATCTATGCTGTTCTGGTAGGGTAGCCACTAGTCACACTGAGCACTTGAAATGTGTCCAGGGACTAAATTTTAAATTTAATTTTAATTATTTTTAATTTAAATAGCTTCATGTGGCAAGTGGTTATCATTGTGGACAGTGCAGAGACAGGCAGTTTCCCCCTACTTGCTCCTTTCTAATTATCACTAAACATTTTATTTAATGTAAATATTCTTTCCATAGCACAGCTGGAAACCAATATATTCTATAGTGAAACAAACTTGAGGAAACCCTACAGATGTATATGACAGTTAACTGTATGACAGTCACAGGAATAGGTTCTGTCTTATCCAGAATGAAACTTCTCCATTCCCACCACTTACTAGATAAAGTTTGAACAACTGGCCTGAAGACCCTTTGCGATTGATTATTTTCACTGTTTGCAGATGTAAGTTGTTTATGTGGTTAATTGCAAACAATTCACAATAGCCAGTTGCCTGGTTTAAGATGAGACATTTTAATCTGTGGCTCTAATATTTTTTTAAGCACATGTTTTAATCCTACAGATTAAAATGTCCTTGG